AGGCAAACCAGGGTAGTTTTGGCCCAACTACGTTCAGGATGGTGCAGCCGTCTCAATTCGTATTGGGCACGAATTGATGAGGATGTGCGGAACGCCTGCCCAGCGTGTGATACAGACCCGCACAACACGCTGCATTTGTTTAATTGTCCTGCCAAGCCTACCCAACTCCGTCCAGAGGATCTATGGCTACAGCCCATAAAGGTAGCAGAATTCCTAAACCTGGACATTGAGGAAGAACCAGATTAGTCGGAAAAAACAACAGAACGTGTAAAACTGCTACAACAACAACCAGGGTGGCTAACGACAGATTGAGGAGCTTTGTAAGATACTCAACTCCTGGTTCATCCAGTTGCTTCAACATCACCATAGAGATTCCGTCAGGACCAAGCGCTTTGGATGACTTTTCGCTTCTGATGACATATGCAACATCTTCCAACGTAAATTGTGGTGGTAGCTCCTCGGCTGGAAGAGATCGTACACGACGTAGGATCCTTCTATTAGCCCCGTCACTCTCGGGGTGCTCTACAAACTGCCGGTTGAAATAACACGCGCACCCCTTCGGATCTGTCACTTATACGCCGTTAAATGAGACAGATCGTCCTTTTCCCAGGGTTCGAGAGCGATTTAACCGTTGCCCACAATTTACTCGTTCCGGTGCTGATGTTGCAATGCTTCAGATGTTCTATCCACTTTTTCCACTTATGCTCACTGACTAACCTGTTTACCTCCAGAATAAGTTCACTGACTCTGGGGTTATTAGGGTTAGTACGGCGAAGCTCATCTCGCTCATTTGCAAATCCCGCTGCCTCTGCTGAGAAATTTGGTCTTATTTCAGGTATTCGACCAGCAGGTATATAGCGACTGCTGCACCTTTGATTATGTCCCGGAAACACCTATCTGCTACCTGAACATCAGATGGGTTGGGCAGTTCTCTGAAGCGGCGATTGGTACATTCTCTGAATTCTTGCCAATTGGCTTTCCCGTGGTTAAGGAAAGTGCGGCGTTCAGAGTCTATGAAGTCGGGTGGTCTGTTGATGGCGACATGGAGGTGGCCTGAGCCTAGAGAAATGACTGATGGCCAAGTTACGCCATTCGTCAGACCTGGGGACACTGGATATGTCCGGTGAACTGTGGCAGTCTCCCCTTATTCTGGTGGGCGCGTCCTCATTCACTGTGCAAAACTTGGAGCTATCAATTTGCTCAGCCAACGCCATGGCTCTCTGGTCATTAGCTAGGACGGAATACCATAATTCATGAGGGGCATTGAAATCCCCTAGCACCAGACGGTTATTGCCTACCAGAAGTGAACTGATATTAGGCATATAACGTGGGGCACAGCTATTTAACGGCGGAATGTACACGTTGAGCACCTCTACCTCGGCGGTTCCACACTTGACCGGTACCCTCATACATTCCATGTACGGCTCACTAGAGTCAAGCTCGGTCGAGATAGGTCTGTACTGGACAGAGTGGTGCAATAGGAACGCTAATCCTCCACCTCTACCCCTGTGGCGATCCTTCCTCAGTACGTTGTATCCATCACAACTTTGAAGTCTGCAGGTGAAACTCAGCTTCGTTTCCTGGATCGCTACGACCTTGATGTTCTTCCGATTCATGAGCTTACGATTTCGTTAATCTACCTCGGAGACCATCACAATTGAATTGGAGAAATGACGTATTATCCGGAACTTGAACAGCAATGTGTGGCGTCAACTGCTGCATAAAATGCTGTTGAGGACATTGCGAGGGAGTCTCATACTGCAACGACGATGAGCACGCCGAAGATGAAGACTCACTGGGGTCTACATTGGCGCAACAGGAAGCAATGTAGTCCCTATCTCACCGAGACCGATCTGTGGTGGATGCGATTTCGACAAACGGACCAGAACCATGGTCCGGGGTTGGTCTCGATCCCGGCTCGCACCAAGAGAATACGGAGCAAACATTCCGGGTAATGTTGCTTCCACCATAAAAAAATGGACGAACACGAACATGTATATGCTGGGTTGGCGGCCCCTGGTCAACGGATTGTCCCTCCGAGTCAAGAACCGGCCGCCGTGGGATTGAAATAACCTTTATAATTTGGCGTCAGAGGCCAGGTTAGTATAACCACGTTGTTGCAAAAATCGTCAGGCTTAATCCCATTATTGTTGTTTTTATAAAACAACATTTGTTTATTAGTGGAGAACGATGGTAATGTTTACCAGGGGGTAAGGCAGGGAATACCTAGGTTTCGGAAAGAGCCACCAATCCTCATCAGTTCCCTTGTTTTTTGTCTGGGATATTCTCCCCAGAAGTTATTTTAAAAATAACTTCTATGACAAAAAAGAACTTTTTTACCCAAGTGACGAGATCGTAAGCTCAATAGAAGAGGAACCAAAGAATTATATAAAACTAAAATTCTTTTGGAAAATCTTCTTAATCTTACAACCGCACTTATAAACATTTACATCTTTCTCCACTTGTTATGCTTTCGTTTTACCTCAACGAAAAAAACATAACCATGTAAGTTGGTTTTGTCTGTGACAACAAAAACCCTTTCGTCGACGGTGCCTTGTCTACAATTAGAACAGTGTTGGCATGTTTGTTGGTTGTAGTATTTTGTTGTTGCAAAAATCGTCAGGCTTAATCCCATTATTGTTGTTTTTATAAAAACAATATGCACAAAATTAGAAATTGATTTTACTTTCAATTTGAATAAATAAAAAGTATGCAAATGTTTAAAAATCCGATACCTACTGATTATTTAGCTGAACACTATTTTTTATGATTCCTGAAAGGGTTAAGAAAAAGGAAAAGGGAAGGCGAAAACAATATTGGACTGATTCGACGAACTTGGACTTGAATTGGCTATAGAAAAATATTTCCGATGAACACATTGTAATAATAGCTCGGAAGATTCACTATGCTAAAGAGTATAATTCAAAAAGTTCCATTTACCCTTGAATCGCTTCAAAGATGACATGCGCATTGTCCGACTAATGGACGTCCATCCCAAATGCTTTCATATTCAGAAAGACATCGGATCTTTTTACCCTACCATAGCAAATTTTCTCTTCTTTTGATACAAAATTTGCATAGTATTGAGAATTGAGTACCTGTGCTTGGTTGTTGCAAAATAAGAAAGCTTAAGTCCGTCGTTATTTATTTAAAAACAACTTTAAACTTGACTAATATTCAATCACCGCTTTTCTGCACAGGCCATCTATACAGCACATCAATGTTTTTTTTTTTTCCGAAATATTTTAGAAAAAAAATTTTTTATCTGAGCATAGCCCCCAAAATCAACATAAGCCAAATCAGGAACAAGTAAAAAAACATTAAGTTCAGCCGAGACGAACTTGTAATACCCTCCACAATTGGGTAAAGACAACATCTTTATGGAAAAGTATCTGAATTAAACCTTATCCAATTTTAACTCTTATTACCAGAAAGATCGTTTAGATAAGGCAATAATAAACTACATGGCAATAATAAACTACATGGATTGTTTTCTATTGTGAGTCTTAAATACCAAATTTGAAACAATTTCGTGGGTAAATGTGACTAGGATTATAAAACACCGAATATCGGTAGGTACCGTAATATGTGAGCTATAGGAAAACGTGGCCCTAGATATTCAATTTTCTACCACCGAAGGTAGAACCCATTATGAACCACAAATACCAATTTTAATATCGGTAGGTATGTAGACCAAAACGTGGACCGATACCAACCACCCTAGACACATACAAATTGCCTAAATATTCAATGTTCTGCCACCAGAGCTAGAACCCATTATGAACTACAAATACAAATATTTAGAAAAATCCGTGGAAAAACGTTGCAAAAATCGTCAAAATACTAAATATCCGTTTTGGTATAGCCACCACATAATGGTACTGTGGTGGCTATACGAAACGTGGACCTATAAATACTATGTTCCGCCACCGAAGCTAGAACCACTATGACCTACAAATACCAATTTTTGGACAAATCCTTGAAAAAATGTAGTAAAAATCACCAAAATACCGGGAGGTATCGTTATATGGGGGCTATACAAAAACGTAGACTTATATATACAATGTTCTGGCACCCTCGCTCCGGTGGCACCCACTATGACCCATTTTATAGACAAATCGGTGAAAAATTGTGGCGAAAATCATCAAAATATCGAATATTGGGAAGTACCGTTATATGGCGGTTATATCAAAACGTGGACCGATATACCATCCTAGACACAATACAAATTCTTCTGCCAAATTTTGAAGCTCTACGTCAAATAATATGGGCTGTATTGTGATTTCAACAGACAGATGTACATCGTTAAATCGACTTCGATTTTTATGCGGATTATATATATGTATATTTTATGGGATCTACGACGAATATTTAGGGATATTACAAACGGAATGACAAATAAAGCATGAAAGCGACCCACATGATTCAAATTGAAATGCGAACATGGTATTAGGTAACGACGTTACGCCGTGGTAAATGATCATCAACGGCGTTTTTTACAAAGCAAATGAATTGTATCACTCTACTGCAAACAGTGTTGCCAGTATTTTATGTGTCTACTCTCCGAATTTGAATAAAAATGGATGCATTTTTACCATAGACAAATGAAAATATAGACAACGAAAAGTTAGTTTTGTCTTTTTTTTCCAGATGGCTCTCATCATGTTTTGCATAGTCAACATGCTGATTTACGCGTTCAAGCCACTCGACTTCGAAAACACATTTTATCGTTTTTCAAGAATTTCACTGGAATATTCCTATATTTTTCGATGTCATCACGTTCTTTTCACATTTCTTTTATTATGAAATAATTTTCAACTGGCAAATATCCTACAGTTTTTGTTATTTTTAACGTTTTAGAATTGAGTGACTTCAATATTCCCACTCAAACCCCTGAAACGATATGAACGACATCTGCTGATTCGATTTTTTTCGAAGATAAACGGTGAGAGCATTTCGTTGTCTATATTTTCATTTGTCTATCAGCCTGTTCCACGATGTCGAAAGAACACGTTCGCACAACTTTTACACGACAAACAGCTGATTTCCGTTCCACTAAAATCCATCAGAACGAAAATTTGTACGAAAATCAAAGCGAACGAAAACGTAAGCGTTTCAGTGTAATTTTGCGTTCCACTATCTTTTTTCTTACGTACGCATGCGAACACAAATGTCAAAATCAGTCACTTGTGTGTTTGCTGTCGAATGATAAAAATTAAGGAAAATTGTTTTAACATAAACATTCCTTGATTGAAAATGGAAAGAAAAATGTAAGTAAAAATAATAAATGCAATTTAATCTGTGAACAACAAATATACATTTTTTTATTTTCTCAATTCCAGCACGAAAAAACTACACAGCTGCGGGCACTAGTTGAGTATATGGGGGAGAATCCTAAGTTCGGCAGAGGAGTGCCAATTTTTGGAAGCAGCAGGCAATCCCATGAAGACCACTGGAAGACACAAACCTAGAAAAAATCATTTTTTTATTATTTCAAAAATGTAAAAATACAATCATACTTACTGGTTGTTATGTACTTCAAATAAAGTCGAAGCATCTCTTAAATGCCTCCGTGGCACAATTTGAACCTCCTCCTCATCATCCATAAAAAATAGGGCTACAGAAATATTCATTTTTTTCTTTTTTAAGAACACAAATAATCTGAACACAATCACTAGAAATTTTATTTTGTTTGTTTATTTACAATTTGTTTGTTTACAACTGAACTGTCAGTTGATACAGAGCCACTGCTGCTTTTTCGCGTTTAAATTAGACATTTGGCGCTTTTTTTGCCTTATTTCGCGATTAATTTTGCCAAAAAATATTTTGCAACACTGAATCACGTAAGGCTATGCGCAAGAAAGAACGAAAGTTAGTGAAACGCATTCTTATGCGAAAGTGAGTGAGTAGCCTTCGTTCGCACAAATTTTCTTTCGAGATCGTGGAACAGGCTGTATGTTTTTACTTGGGTATACTCATGGTAAAAGAATACAGGTAGTCGCATCGACACAGCTGCTGGCACAATGAAATGTCAAACATATTTTGGAATTAAACATCTTGAATGGAAAATCATTGACATTTGTAAAAATTGCGTCGTATAAGAAAACATATAAAAAAATCTCCTTATTTTTGACAAAACATTTTAAAAAATTTGACATATCAATCCCAAGCTCTGACGCATCTACCCATATTCTTCTACCATGGGTATACCCAAATAAAAATGCATCCATTAACATTGCATCATAACTATAATGGCTTAATAAAAGCCATACTTTGTTATTTGAATTCCTCGCCATATCCAGCAAATGAGTTTTCTGTCCCCAACTTGAAAACAAATTATAAAAATTGGCAACACTACGTAAGCAGCTGATAGTGTCAACAGAACCGTGTTACTTGATGTTCGCTTTGTTAAATAATACAAGAGTATTTGCAAATGCTTTAAAAACAAACATAATATTAAGACCTTACAATTATAATATACGTATCTTCTTTACAAACACAAGCGAATTAAGCACAATAACAATACCAACCAAAATGCAGCGCATTTGGGTGCCATCAGCAAAAGACTTCTTGGATAGTTCTTGTCAACAGTACCGCCTGCTGTCGTACAATATTTTGGCGCAAGAATTACTCACGGATAATATGTTTCTCTATTATGATATCAAACAAAAATATCTTCGTTGGAAAAATAGAATTGCACTTTTGGGAGAGGAAATTCGTAAAATTCGTCCAGATATTTTTTGTTTGCAGGAAGTTCAACATATACATCTGAAAGATATTGTTAACCTTTTGGCTTCTAATGACGATGGTCATCTTAAGCTAGAATACGTTTTTAAAAAAAGGACTGGTAGTCGTTGTGATGGATGCCTTATATTATACGATAGAGAAAAGTTTAAGTTAATTAAAGAGCATTGTGTTGAGTACCACACTGAAAACCATTCGATATCTGACCGAGAAAATATAGCCGTACTAGCAAAATTTGCCCCCAAGAATGATCTTTCAAAAACATTTGTAGTCTCTACGACGCATCTGCTGTATAATCCACGACGCCACGATGTCCGAATATGCCAAATCAACAAGTTATTAGCTGCCATTATAGACTTCGCAAAAGAGTCTACAAAAAATTACAAACTTTGTCCCATCATACTAACTGGTGACTTTAATTGTACCAATGACAGTGGCCCGTTTCGTATACTAACTGCTGAGCGCAGGTTCGTATGTGAAGAAACAAACAAAACTAATCAGCAATTTAAAATGTATCCTTTACATTTCGGAGACGGCACTGCATCTACATATCAAAACCAATGGACCACGGTGGATTACATTTTAAAATCGTCCTCGGAGGAAGGCGAAGATTTTATACAAATTAATAGTACATACCATTTGCCTCAATTGGAAACATGCCAAGCACATGGAAAATTGCCTAACAAATATATTGGTTCAGATCACTTTTGTTTAGCTATTCAATTCTCGATTATTTAGATGAATGTAAATTTAATTTTTAAATTTTTACTCAAGTCAAAAAAGATTAAAATTAAACATATTTATATTACAAACGCACTTAATTTGAAATATTGTCTTAGATTTATGTTTGGAAATACCATCAAGGTAAAACTTTTTGCAGTCGCTTCAAAATCGAATAAGAGCATCTGTGATTATCATATGCTATTGTATTTAATTTAGACTCTATTATAATTACTGGCATTTGTGGGAATTATATTATACTAGAGAAACATATATTATTTCCAATTAATGCATAGTTGACATCATATAACAAAAATTTAACACTAATAAAAACTTACCCGGAATGTTCTAATTGCATAATCATCTCTTGCTTCCAATTTTGCACGAATAGTACTGAGAATATAACCCATTTTAGAGAGGGATACATCTTTGTCCAATTCATCGTTAAAGGATTTGTACGTTTTCTTCTCTTCTTTAAAATTCTCATTTTTTGATTTGCTTGTATTGGAACAGTTTAAGGGGAAATTCAGTTTTCGTTGGCTGGATCGCGTTGGCTTCTTTGGTGGTGAATTAACATGGCGGGTAAAATCAAAATTAATATCGCTACAATCAATTTCATTAGTTGTAATGTTTTGCGATTCACTGCAGTACGAAGTATGTGGCAAAGACGACTGCATTGGTGAGTGATAGCTTCCTGGTGGCGATAACCGGTCAAATCCTTCGTATTCCGTTTGCACAGCAACATTACGGTAGAGAGGTTTAAGTATTTCATAATTTAAATTCTGCTTGTTATCTTTTTTGGGAGAAACCAACCGCAATATTCTTCTTTTTGACGATTTAAAAAAGTTTTTAGAGCTTAAGCGAACGTCAATGTTTTGAGACTCGGAGGAAATGTCTTTTTTTGTTGACCAAGGCGAAAAATTGCGGAAATGCTCAGGCCATACGAACTTTTGCATGTGAGATGTTCGTTTGCAATTTTTCGTTTGAATTGCTTCCGCTTTAATTGGTGTTTTTTTTATGTCTATACATGAGGCAATATTATGTCGACCAATTCCATCTACAGTATCTATATCAACCTTTGGAGATATACGCCAACCTACACTTTGCGAACTTTTTTGTGGCTCGGCACGCGTGGATGTGCTTCGGAAATTGTTTTCATTTCTGTTTAGTTCGTAATTTAACATATAGTTAATTTTTTTATCTTTTTCTTGTATCTTTACATTCTCATCATCTATGTCCCTCAAATTTTTGCTGTAAGTAGCATTTTTGTAATGAATAGCGCCTTCCAAATCACACAGAGATGGATACGTAGCTAATACCTGCTTAGCACAAGACGACAGTTCTTCCGAAGCTAAAAATAATAATGGACATGGTAAGTTTATTAAAGAAGGAAGTTGATATGTGTTTCGTTTGGTCAGGCCAAACATTTTATGCCGCCTACGAATAGGATTTTTAAAACCATTTGAAATCTAACCCAAATCGGAATTATTCTACATTAAAGAAAGTCTTAAAGTCGGGCGGCGCCGACTTTATGATACCCTACACCACTTTGCTAATTTAGTAGAGCTCCACATAACAATTAAAAGTTTTTATGGCAGAATTCAATCATAAACGCTATGAATTTAATTATAATTTAAAGTTTAAAAAAAGACTAAATATGCCGAAGCATTTGAATCTTTTAAATTCGGACTTGTATTGCTCATTTGATATATATGAGAGCTATATCTAAATCTGAACCTATCTTGATAAAATTTAGCAAAGATATTTCTGAACTGAATTTCATATATTTCCCTGAATATCGTTGTTACGAAGTGCATATTAGGGTAACAAATATTACAAACATAACAAATCGGATAAACAATATATATGGGAGCTATAGCTATATCCGATCTTCACCAAATTTGACATACTAGCTTCTAGACTCAATTCGGTCGTAAGTGTCAAATTTCATCCCATTTGGGCAAATATTAGACGTTTGGTGCACAATAAAATGTAAATCGGATATATGGGAGATATATCCAAATCCGAACCGATCTCGATAAAATTTAGCAAATTTATGTCTGAGATGTGTTTGATATATTTCCCCAAAAATATTGTTGTTACAGAGTGCATATTACTGCTGTGGAGGACTAAAATAACAAATCGGGTGAACAATATATATTGCACCTATAGCTACATCTGAACCGATTTCGATCAAATTTGGCTTACTTATTTTCAGGCCAAATTTGGTTGTATGTGCAAAATTCCATACTATTCGGGCTGATATTACACGTTTGGTGCACAATAAAAAGCAAATCGGACGAAGATATATATTTGAGCTATATCTAAATTTTTACCGATTATCTCAAATTTCAATAGGGTTCGTCCTTGGGCCAAACAAATGATTTGTGCAAAATTTCATCTGGATCGGGTAATAAATGCGAACTGTACTTTGTTTACAAAAAAACATGGACAGACGAACGAACATGCACAAATCGACTCAGAATGTGATTCTATGCAGATCATCAAAAGGAACTATGGGTCTATCTCGTTTCCTTTTGCCTGTTACAAACAAATGCACAAAGACATAATACCCTGACCACCTTGTGGTGAAGGGTATAAATATTTTTCTTAATATTGCTTATATTTATGAAGAAATTTTAGTTACTTATTGTTCTATTCGAAATCTTCAATTTACTAGTTTTAAATTTTTTTACTATTTTTCTTTTATAGAAAGTTTTCCAATTTTTTACAATTAACAATTAGGAGAGTCGTAGAGTTCACACTTATGTAGGAAGTACGACGTTTGTTATTAAATTACGGATCAAGTAATACATGTCATTAATGTTATACAAAACAACTTGCAATAACATTCTTTTTTTCTAATAAATCCTTTCTTAATTTTAACAAGAACAGTTAAGTTCGGCTCTCCCGTTCTTTACCATTTAAAAATATTTATTTCCGCTAATGGGTTCTTGCAAAGGCAAATTTAAAAATATCCGCTTAAAAGGTGGCTAATATTATAAAAATACTGAATATCGAGAGATACTTTTTATGAGTAAAACATGGAACCACATGGAAGCTTTTCTGCCATACTAAGAAGTGTTCATTAATAACTTCCAATGGCAATAGAAGCCTATCAGAAGATCTGAGTGGCATTCATACCAATGCAGTCACGGATGCTATCAGAAGTTATAGAATGAATGCCGTCCTCGGAGTCCACCCCCATCCATTGCAGCTGGCTAGACAAACCTGGGTAGTTTTGGTGCAATTAGGTTCAAGATGGTGTAGTCGTCTCAATTCGTATTGGGCACGAATTGATGTGATACAGGCCTGCACCTCTTTAATTGCACAGCCACCTACCCAACTCACTCCAGAAGATCTCTGACTACAGCCCATTAAAGTAGCCGAATTTTTAAATCTGGAGCTGGAACCAAATTACCAGAATACAAACACTTACATGTACTACTGTTACAACAACAACAACAAAACCGAAAACGGCAGGTGCCAATCATTCACATACATTGTAGGTGACAATAACAGCTCAGCAATTAAACACCTCCGTCGCAGTTCCGAGTAAAAAGTTTTATATATGACCAAAACATGAAATATATGACCAAAATATAAAATGCACGAGCCTGTGAGGCTCATTTAAGATAAAGAACGTAAATAAACACATAAGCAAATTGTATTTTAACGGCTGTTCATTACATTGGGAAATTATGCCCATCCTAAGATAAAACTCATTAGATTAATTCTTTCACGTCTCCGGAAAGGAAAAAATTTTCTTAGTACTGCGCGATATGAACCATAGAACGCCCCAGAGGAAGTTAAAGACTTCTTAGACTCTGAAGTACCGGGCGCAGTGACACAAGTTTCCAGACTACTAACAAAGCATTCCACTCAAAATAAGTGCGACAAGTAATTATACATTGTCACCTTACATTCAGGCAAAACAAAAAATTACAGTACTCACATTAAGATGATTTCAGACCAAGTTGTCCAATGATCAGCAATGTAGGCGTTGTCAAAACTGAAGACACCTTTCCAAAAATTGCAACTGTCCAAAAAATAGTGGCAAGACTAATGAGCCTGTTTTTTTAAATTGTTGGAGGGGCTGCTCCTCCTATAAGAAATGTATTTATTAAGAAAAGTCCGAGAACAGCAAGAGGCAGCTGTAAAGAACGTTAAGAACACTTTTGGAATTTTTGGAATTATCTAAATTTTTCATGGAGCCCGAGGAACCAACCACTGAAGAAAGAATCGAAAGATTTCTTAATGAATACCGTAACATGCAAAAAATGAAGCCAAGGCTGTGTTTTTACCTATTCTAAATAAAGTCAAAAGTGGTCCAAAAGGATCTAAATGTATTGATTTTTAATGTGCGACCGCTCGTAGACAAGACGCGACAAATTTAATCACAAAATATTTTATATTACGGTAAAATTAATATTTTTTAATAAAGGTTATAAACTAAACTCAGACGATAGTACTTTGGGTGTGGCAGTTTTAATTAAAAAACAAGTAAAAAACATAAGGTTCGGCCAACTTTTAATACTCTCCATTTTAGGGAGGAAACATTAGAACTCATTATGACCCACAAATACAAATTTTTAGACATATTCATGGGAAAATGTTCCAAAAATCATCAAAATACCGAATATCGGGAGGTACCGTTATATTGGGACTATACCAAAACGTTGACCTATACATACAATGTCTCGCCGCACGAACTAGGATCAATTATGGCCCACAAATACCACTTTTCAGACAAATGCCTGAAATAAGTGGTACCGTTATATGGGGACTATACTAAAAAGTGGACCGATATATCATATATCGTTTTCAATACCAACCATCCTAGACACAATACAAATTGCTCTGCTAAATTTACGTCAAGTAATGCGGGCTGTATCGTGATTTTAACAGACAGACGAACGTCGCTTAATCGACTTAGAATTTTATTCTGATTATGAATATATATACTTTATGGGGTCTACGACGAATATTTAAAGATGTTACAGACGGAATGACAAAGTTAATATACCCTTTCTTTCCAAGCTGGAGGGTATAAAAATATATCCTTCAAGCGGATAACGACTGAGGATCATAACTTTAACTCGTAATTTTTGGAAATAAATTTCAAAAGCAACGGAGCTCAAAAAATGTACATGATTGGTTCCTTATATGTCCCTTCAAACTTTCGCAGACTAGATTTAATTTCAGGTCTGGATAAAATGCTCAACCTAGCCTCTATCTTCGATGGTATGATTGTTGGCGATGACTTAAACTCAAAAAATCCTGAGTAGGCGATCTTACTCATAACCAAAATGACGCTTTTCTGTTCAATTGGCTTCCTGATCACACGATTGATGTTCTCAGGATCTGCAATATTAACCAATATTTTTCTAACGGATCGACGATTCTCGATCCTTTTGTGATTTGCTGACACCTTATTAGCAACGATCTTGTAAACTACAAAATTTCGTCCTTAGGCACCTTTTCGGATGGTAATGTTATGCCTGAATAACGGATATTTCCCCGTTTCGAAAATACTACCTATGAAAAAGAAGAAATAATCTGAGATTGTTGGGGATTTTCTTCTAATATCGCTGTTTTCTAATGTTTTCGATTCCATAATGAAAGTTAAAATGAAAAGTGAATTCGTAATTGAACCTATCTCGTGTTATCAGATTGGATTTAGGTCTGGGAACCCGACCCATATCGATATTGTAAGCAATCTAAGACACAGAATTTCCACCGTCGCTATTTCTCTGGACATACAAAAGGTATTCGACTCGACCTGGCATAAAGGTATTGTCTATAAACTAATTGAATTTGGCGTCAACTTTTTTCTTACCAAAATATTATTTGACTACTTCCAGAACCGATAATTCTGTGTCCAAATTCGCAATTCAATGTGTGATTTCAAGTATTAAGGAGTGGCATCCCCGAAGGGAGCGTTTTTGCGCCCTTTTATTCAATATATACCTTAACGACTTCCCTCATTGCTACAACAATTCTCAAGCGATTCTATATGCGGATGATTGCCTTATTTACTCCCATAACAAATTCCCAATAGAAGCCCTAAACCATCACCCGAAAATCTTAACATCATACGCAATTTTTATAAAGTAAAAGCGAAGCTATCTGCATACGTAATGCAAGTGGAAAACGTCATAGATTTGTGTTGACGCAAAGCAAAAACCTAGACGGAATCGAAATACAGTTAAAAACTACTTTAATGTATTTGGAGTAAGTTTTAATCTGCTGTTTTAATGTTTTAAATGAATTTTTATAAAAGCTTTAAATTTATTTTTTGAAGATTTATCTATTGACAGCGTTTAAAAGTTCCATACGTTTACAGAACTAAAATTGAATTCAGATATTGTTATTTAGTTATAAGACTACTCTGTGGTTGTTTAAAAATCTCAAATAAAAATAAATTGAAATGTACTGAAAACTGTTCGTTTACCCAAAAATCCAGTAAGTGAGAGCGCAATGAGAGAGAAATTTTGACATTTGAGTTGCCGAGAGTTTGCAATTTCTTACTGGGAAAATTTCCCGAGTAAGAATTATTCAGTAACATTAGCCGTTTAATAATCCGATGTTTTATAAACAAACAAACAAATTTAAACAATATATTTTTTGTTAAAAAAGTTATTAGCAACAATGGATAAGAAAAGCTTAAGTAAAGATGAAAATAAAAAATTAAAAAAAAATTGAGCTATCTTCGTCCCTTATTTTGCCTTTACTTATTTATTTATTTTTTTGCATTCTTCTTTCGTGCATTCGTCATATTTTGCAAGTAACACTTTCGCTATTAATATTTTAAATTCAGTTTTTTTTTCTTAATACAAATATTTTTAAAATCATACGTTGTTAGTTATCAACTCCAAAACTGGTCTCCTCCTCGGGAGGAAACTTTAACGCTCCCCGGGAAATTTATCGCTGCTTCTCCAATCACAAAGAACATATACATTTTCCCTTGTTAACTATCTTCCATATAAATTCACTAACCCAAGAATACGTAGGGTTTAAGAGCAAATATACTAAAAAACCGCTAACTTCAGTTAGCGGTTCAGAAAATATGAAGTGAACTAATTAAAATATTCTCATGAGGGATGGTAATATGATTTTCTTAACGATAAATTAATCTCAAGTCAATAGCTTTGAGTGTTCTCTAGACCCAACTTTAAACATTGCCACTGGGTTTCCAGCATTTCCACCTTTTAACAAATCTGATTAAAGTCCCGAGGTTCAATGGAATGCCAAAAAATCAATTCAAAATTGACAGTGTCTAATACGCAATGCTCGCTTTAGATTTCAATAACTATGATATTCCAAAAATGGAAAGTTAGACTTATTGCATGCAAAATTAAACAATATATGCCCAATCCACTGCAGTGTAAAAACTGCTTTAAAATTGATCAGCTCACAGAAAATTTAAAAAATATCGTTCCCAGAGAATCTAATATTGGTCTGGTAAAACTGGTCTGTGCTGGGTAGGAAATCGAAAACCAGCTACAGAATCTACTTTCACAGGTTTACAAAATAATACAACTTAAATATATTAGTCATTTAAAAAATAAATTATTCTAGATTTTATCATTTCTAAACTCATACTAAAATCAACATTACAGTAAACAGTATAAATTTAACACACATCTTACAGGGAGGTCACCTATTGAATAATTCGTGCAGTGAAAATCGGTGTATAAGAGCCTAACAAGAGACGTAAATAATCGTTTTGTTATATGGATCAGAAAATGCTTTGGCCTATCGTTTTACAAAACCAAAGACACCATTTGCTGTTTTACAGAGTAATTACAATTTAAAATCTATGTACATTCTGTACATTCAATATCGCTATGACTATTACAAGGCACACAGAGGTCCAGTTTACGGAGGGGATAAGGATACTAAGTTTGCAAAAATTATTTTTTTTTATAATCACGAATAGTTTTAAACGAAACTGACTGATTTTTATCAATTAGACAATTGTGTATCATGGAAGACATAAGGTTGGACGATGCATATCTTCAGGATTGCATATCGGAGAAATCCTGAATATTTGAAACGCTAAATCGAGAATTCTGTCATGGGAATTCTTCACTTCGAATGTATATTGGTTACTATTTGCTTCGGACGTCAAAAGAATCAAGGCTTCAGAATCTGGCTATGGAAGCCACCTAAAATGATATATTGAAATCACCAAGAATTAGTATACAGTCTGATTAGTTCATTTTATTAGGATTATTGAAGAAAAGTAACAATGTAATGTCCCATCTTATTATTTGTCAACACTCACCCCTGTCTTTCGATCAACTAAGAACCCATGACAATGGTGTGGGAGTAAACCCAGCATGAACTGAACTAGTGCTGTTAATTAAAAAACGAAAAGTAAACAAATTTTCGCTCCCAGTACAGGATGCCAGTACTTCGAGTGACAAAAAATTAACCACCGTGCAAATAGCCACGTCGTTACTAATAACTGGAACTCTCAAGAGCACTCCTCAGTCTGCGTTGAATGTGATGCTAAACATCCAGGCGTTTAATCTTTTGGCTAAGTTTCAAACATCAAGGATTGCACTGAGACTATGGGAAGCGGGGTGATGGTACCATTCTCGTTTTCGTCTTGCACAGATCCTGCACATACCTACAGGTCGAAATAATTTAGGTGAAGGTAATACAGTAAGTGAACACATGTCACTTTATTGACGTAACTATACCGACGTAACCTCCTCCGCATGTCAGCACATATACACAGACGGTTCAAGATGGAAGTATTCTATTAAAATCCAATCATTAAACGCTCATATAAGCGGATTTTAAAGTTGAGAGTTTCACAATCAAGAAGGCAGCCGAAATGGTAAGAACTTTGTTACAGCATAACAGAATTAGTGATTATATCGATCGTGTTGAGATGCATGTAATACTAAACTCTAATACTAAACTCTTTAGATTCTTCACCATTGGCTTAACGCAGACGACTCAGACATAATGAGCTACAAAAAGATAACTACCAACAACCATTTTGTTAACATACAGATTTGATCGCAAATGGGTTGAACATTCTCCATGCAAACAGAGATCTAATATCATAAAATATCTATCGAAGCTTTCTTCCATATCAACACCATTACTTATTTAGTAAAAACATTAGTACTCAGCACGCTTATCAACAACTGTAGGATATTTGTCAGTCTAACAGTGTCCCATAACAGCGTCACCTAAAATTCGACATGCTTAGCCGACATTTTGTTGAACTATTTCAAGATTGACAATTGAATAATTTATTTTTTTGTGTGTTGAAAATATCAATTTATAATTCATTGATATTTTCAACACACAAAAAAAAATGTAAATGTTTGTAATTGAAATGGAAAATGGCATGATGGGGTGAATTTAATAAGGTATCAATTTTGAAAACGTTATAATTTGTAGATTTTAAGATATGGACCTGACGTATTTTGGTGAATTTTAATAGTTGTTTACAGTATGTAGAATTTTTGGCTCAATCAACATGTTGACCATGCAAAAGCGTCCTGAGAGCTATCTGCATAAAAAGACAAAACTAGCATTCCTTTGTCTATATATTAGTTAGTCTAATGCCCAAGGCCCAAAATAAATATTTTTTCTTTAAAAAAAAACACCAATCAAAACTAAGTTCCTTAAGGTATGGACCGATATGTCTAAGTAACGAAGCTTAAGGCCAGTTCTAGAACTCCCACCAAGGACCAAACGTCAAAACCCAAAAGTCAGCAGATAATGACCGCAACAACAGATTCTCAATTCTCGAACGAGGCTGACGAAATAATACAACTGGTTAGATCCCAAAAACCTCCCTCACTATATCTTACAAAGAAACAAAAAAATCTCGTGAAACTGTGAAAAATGCATTATATGGACCTAGTTCGTGTTCTGGATTGCGAAAAGAAAAATTACTACAATTATCAGCTCAAGATATCAAAAGGGCTTCATAGTTCTACACCCATAGAAGATATAAAGGATGCTCTCGCAGCAGAGTGATTCGAAACAAAGTCCATCATCAAAGTTTTTAATAGATAAAGCTCCGCAACTTATATTCAAAGTAGAACTAACATGTGAATCTTCGCAACTAAAAAATGGGAAAAATTCATTCAATTTATCACCTTAGGTTTGTTTGTAATCGTGGAGAAAGAATAGAATAACCTCAAATAAACTGTACAGACTGCCAAGAGTACGGTCAAACTTATTGCAAACTGCAATCTGTATAGTAACACATCCAGCGATTTCCACAAATCGTTGGAATGTCCACATCCTAAAACTGATCTAAACGTCAAGAAGTGCAGCAATTGTGATGGAAACCATACTGCGAACTACAGAGGATGCTCTTTATATGCCCATATAAAAAATTCTACCTTAGCCACAAGGTAGCTGTACGAGAAACTCCAAAATTTAATAACAAAACGGTTGATTCCCTGAGCAAAAAAAGAGGAAAGAATTTACCACTCCCAAACTCCCTTTGAAAAATGACTCAGCCAAGCATGCAAAGCATGATGAGAAATCAATCTATGTTAATGCAAATCGTTTTAAAACAAAAATAAGTGAAATTCTAATCTGTTTTTGGAACTCAAACGACTTAAGCCAACATGAACACGAGGTCGAAAACTTTATTCAATCACTCAACATACACATTTTATTGGTATCAGATATTCATTTTACATCTAGAAACTGTTTTAGAATAAACGGTTACAGAGCTTGCGGTGGCGTCTCGATGGTAATTTATAATAAAATTCAATATTACTCCATGCCAGAATATAAGTGTAATTACATACAAGCTACAACAGTTAATCTATCTTCAACGAATACAGTTATATCTGCAATATATTATTTTCAGCTCTTGTCTGGTCAACTGAACGTTTTTCACCATCTACTGTTATATTTCGACAGCTAGTTATACGCTAAATTGGAAGCAGCTTCTGCGAAGAAGATAAGACTATTACTGCAGTCTGCGAAATAATTACATATAACTGTATCTAACTAAAGCAACATTATATCCGTAAGTCTATTCCTGCACTAAACTGAATTACCTAGTCAATTAAATCACAGATTTATCTCAATCCCACGGCAGCGGGTTCTACGATTGCAGCCTACAACGTTGTTATGGTTACAACGTACTAAGGAAGGATCGCACCAGAAGTGGAGGTGGGGGCCCATAGCCTATTATTGGTAGGCAATAACCGCCAGGTACTAGGGGATTTTAATGCCCACCATGAGTTGTGGCATTCCGTCCCAGGTAATGACCAGAGGGGATCAGCGCTGGCAGAGCAGATTGACTGCTCCACATTCTGCACGGTTAACGAGGATGCGCCCACCCGAATAAGAGGAGAGTGTCACAGTTCGCCAGACTTAACCATAGTGTCACCCGGTCTGATAAATGACGTGAGTTGGCAACCCGTCATTTCTCTTGGCTTAGGCCATCTCCCGATAATCGTCTCCATAAGCAGGTCGGCCGATTTCATAACATCTGAACGCCGCACTTTCCTTAACCATGGGAAAGCTCACTGGCCAGAGTTCAGAGAATTCACCAACCGCCGCTTCAGAGAACTGCCCAACCCTTCTGATGTTCGGGTAGCAGAAAGGATTTTCCGAAACATCATCAAAGCTGCAGCCGCTCGCTATATACCTGCTGGTCGAATACCCGAGATAAGACCAAACTTCCCAGCAGAGGCAGCGGGATTAGCAAACGAGCGTGATGATCTCCGTCGTACCAACCCTACTGATCCTAGAATCAGTGATTTGACAGTGGAAGTCAACCGGTTGGTACAGGAGCATAAGAGGAAAAAGTGGCTAGACCATCTGAAGTGCTGCAACATTGGAACCGATATGAGTAAGCTGTGGGTAACGGTTAAGTTGCTCTCGAACCCTGGAAAAAGGATGATAGGACCTCAGTCACTTTTAACGACGTAACGGTGACTGATCCGAAGAGGTGCGCGGAATATTTTAATCGACAATTTGTCGAGCACCCCGAGAGGGATAGGGCGAAGCGTCGTATCAGATCTCTTCCCGCCGAGGAGGAACCACCACAGTTTACGATGGGTGATGTTGCAAATGTCATCCGTAACGCTAAGTCATCCAAAGCGTTGGGCCCAGACGGAATCTCAATGGTAATGTTGAAGCAGCTGGATACGCCGGGAGTCGAGTACTTAACGAAAGTTCTCAATTTGTCGCTAGCCACCCACATAGTGCCCGAAACCTGGAAAATGGGCCGGGTGGTCCCGCTACTGAAGCCAGGCAAGGATGCCAGTAAAGGCGAATCGTACAGGCCGATTTCGCTTTTGTCGCCAGTAGCAAATACTCTTGAGGCTTTACTCCTCCCCAGCATTAGAGAAAGCTATACAGTTGCCAACCACCAGCACGGATTCCGTCCACAACATAGTACCACAACAGCATTACACGCCATTTCCACACATATTAGTAGAGGACTGAACCAGAACAGGCCGTGTGACAGAACAGTGTTGGTAGCCTTTGACCTATCAAAGGTATTTGATACGGTCAATCATGCCACACTGTTCGAGGACGTGCAGAGAACTACCCTCCGGCCAAGTTTGAAACGTTGGATAATCAACTATATGTGTGGACGCCAGTCGTAAGTGGAATTCCGGAACAAGAAGTCCAAAGCCCGTGTGTGGTCTGCGAATACTAGTGCTACACAATGGAAGCATATCCAGACCTGCCAGAACGCTGCCCTGAGAACTGCGACAGGGAGCCTCCTCATGACACCAGTGGACCATCTACATGAGGAGGCGAAAGTCCTTCCCTTACGTCAGCATAATCATATGATTTCGTTGCTAGAGAGGGAGGTCCAGCGCTATAAGAGAGATCCTCTAGATCAAGAAGCCTATCAGGCAGGTCTGAGTGGCATTCACACCGATGCAGTCGCGGATGCTATTAGCAGTTTTAAAGTGAATGCCGTCCTCGGAGTCCACCCCCCATCCATTGCAGCTGAAGAACGTCAGCTGCCTAGACAAACCAGGGTAGTTTTGGCGCAATTACGTCCAGGATGGTGTAGTCGTCTCAATTCGTATTGGGCACGAATTGATGAAGATGTGCGTGACGCCTGCCCGGCGTGCGATACAAGCCCGCACAATACGCTACACCTCTTTAATTGCACAGCCAAACCTACCCAACTCACTCCAGAAGATCTCTGGCTACAGCCCGTTAAAGTAGCCGAATTTCTAAACCTGGAGCTGGAACCAGATTAGCAGAACGCAAACACATATATGTACTACTGCTACAACAACAACAACAACAACAACAGATTTATCTGTATCCACAAGCCCACAAAAAACATGAAAAAAAAATCATGAAAACTATGGGGTAATTGCATTGGCAACCGCCCTATAAAATTAATATTATCTAGATATGAAAATTTAATGTTATTTTCATCCAAATATATGAAAGATTCAATAAACAAATAAGTACGTTAAAAAATTATTTTGGTTACCTTCCTTATAAAGGGTTCATGCGGACGAAAACAATGTACTACTGATATTATCTACATTGAAAGAATATGGTATATAAAGTGTGGTACTTCTCACGAATACAGAATAATAACGATGCATAAAACTTAAATGAAAAAATTTGAATAATTTTCCACGATTTGCATGTAGATTTCAATTTTAACAATGTTCATTTGGTTGATAATTTTGATGTTTTCTCAATGTTAACTTGGACATTTCATTATTAACATGTCTTTCTTCTTGTGATTGGGATGGCGAAATTTACGTAAATTAACATGGTATTTAATAGAAAAAACATCTTATAACATTACAAAACATATAAAGTTGTCAGTTGTAAATGTAACGAAAATTTCATTCGTATCCGCATTTTTTCCGAAAGGTTCAGGTTTTATTCTTTTCTGTCAAGAAACCATTCCAAATTCATGTGAATTGTCAATATAACTCAAGCCGTTCTTGAGTTATGAGAGTAGTAACTACCATCACTTTATTTTTTATATATATAAAGATAGAATATATAAAAAAAAATATATTATATTTACCCAATGGATACGATCTCCGCTTTCCTTTTTCCAAACAAGTCCTTTGTTCGTTTGTCGTGGTTTGTTTTGATTGTGTTTGGTGATATAAAAGTGTATGATTTGCATCGCCTGTTCTCTCATTTTGAAATCTTCTACTCGCTAAAAAATCGTCTAAAATACTCTCAGCTTTTCTTACTGAAGATGATGTGGAATAACTAGATTTTGAGGACTTTTCATCTACACTAAGTGAACTTCTTGGAGGCTTTGGTGGAGGATCTTTGAATTCACGATGTTCAAACTTAGCGTTTGAAATAGATAAACGCTTCAGAAGTAGCCGACCACCTGACTTATGCAGTTTTTCTATGGCAGGTTTTTCAGCGTTATACGTATATTCTTCTGATATATTATCTAGAGGTGGCGCACTTGGAGTATGTGGTATCGCAAGTTCTGATTGGGGCAAATTATATGGTTTTTCCTGCACACTTTTGTCGTATCTTTCCGAAAAATTATTGGAGACGGTATCGTATTTGGACTCGTCTTTCTGACATTTGGTATTTAATTTATTCTTATTGATTCTGACCTCAGAGACAACACAATTATCACGGAACTCTTGTATTATATGTATAAGAGGAGCATCATTGCTAGTTGTTTCCAAGCGGCTAATCGCTGAAATATTGCGAACGTTTGATATCCGAAGTCCCTTTTTCAGATGAGAGTCGCCCACTTTGGTGCTTCTTGGAATTTTGTTTCCTTTACTCGGTTTAGTGTCAAAGGTCTGTACGAGCAAAGAATACCATATTATATGAACAAAATTCATAAGATTACAATACAAACCTTATGACATTCCGAGCTTATCTTAGCAAATCGTCCTGGGCCACGCACATCTTTACGATAAAACGATTCCGGAACGCCACCATCACCACTGTCGCTGGTAAAGCAATAACAGAATCCATCTTTACATGGCTTAGACCTTCGTTCTTGTTTCTTGTTGGATAAATTTTGATTGATTAAATCCTTATCGGAGTTATCATGTTGTTTTTCTACGAAATGTTTGGTGCCTTCCCCTTGACGACTGTGAGAAGATACACGACGTATCCGTCGAGCTCGAAATTCATTCATGCATTCCTCTAAACTGAATGAGGTACTAGTAGCACCATCATTATCCGTATTTTCATCAGTTTCTAGTGACCATTGCGGTTTAGGAATATCCTTCATGCTATATTAAATAAAATAAGATCAGTGAAATGTAGAAAACTTTATATTAAGGTTTTAATTACTCTATATATTGATCTCTGGTTTATCAACTACAATTGATTCTTAATTCTACAATTGATTCTATTCACCTAACTTACTTTTTAAAATTGACCTGAATGAATGTTTTACCTGATCAAACAAAACAATAAGAGAGCGGTTGAGCGGTTCCAGACAGATCACCAAAACACAAATTTGACGCCGATGGCTCAATTCAATGACGGAGAAAAATTAAATTGCTGAGTAAGTTATCTACCTAAATGCCAACGCTAAGTGAAAGCGGAAAACGTTGCTTCAATTCACGCGTTGACGAGCACATACTTATATAAAATATATGGAATTCAGTGTTACCAAGTTCACAAGATACGTGACTCGCTCTATATTCGTTGTTCCATGGCTCAATAAGAAAGGTAGCTCAACTTCAAAGAAACGAGAAAAATGCAACTCTGTACTGGGGTCTTAAAGTGTCAAATAGACTTTTAAATATGCAAAAGATTGTTTTGTTTATTTTTCATTTTTTTAAGGAAATTCTTATATTGGGGAAACAAGAATGGAATTATGGGGTTATTCCACAATATTGAATCCAAAATAGTAGGATAATATATTTTTATCCCAACATTTTACACATTGCCCATCAACGTCGAAAATATGCATTTATTTGGCAACCGAATTCGAAATAATTTCAAATTATAGTATTTTTTTAAAACAATATACACACATACGCAAAATGTGTATATGTTTTGAAAGAATAAGGACACCAAAAGAAAAAAAATGTATTTAGGGGGTAGCTTTGTTCTACCTTTTGCAATTGTGTCATGCGTTGTTCGACCTCAATTGTCAAAAATCTACTCAATTCCCACACCAAAATTTCTGATTCTGAATTCCTTCAAATCACTCATAGAACTCGATGAAATATCTTACATCGATAACAAATAAGTGCATTTATCAAAAAATTAATTATGACACTTGAAAATAGAAAATTTCCATAACATTTAAAATAATGGAGAAGGATACAGTTATGAATGAAATATATTGATCTGTTCCAAAACTGCAAGAATGTAACAAACTATCACTGAAATTATTAAAACACTAAATCGTCCAAAAACAAATGCTGCACATAATGAAAATGCAAACAGTGTCTACAAACAGTACGAATAAACAAAAAATTGGTGTATGTAATAAACAATGAGGGACCCAGGACAGAACTTAAGGCACACCACTATTTACTGCCAAAACATTGACTGTCAACTTATGTAACTAAAATACTGCTTTCTACACGAAACAAAAGAATACATACCTCAAAGGAGCTTCTCAATTTAAAAAGTATGGTTAATTTTATGTATTGCTTTTTCAAAATCAAGAGAAAAAAGGACACACCGTCATACGTGGTACTGCGATTGGAACGAAAACCAAACTGGCTATAATGAAGCAAATCATCCAAGTAACCAACAACCTGTTTTTTAATCACATGTTCCATCATCTTGGATAATATTGGCATAATGGATATCGGCTGAGGTTTACTTTCGCTACTTTCCAACCCACAGGAAACAGAATTTGTTATATTGGAAGTAACAATATGCACAACATACAAAACAATACACAGAAGTCAAGCCCTAATTATTTATATCCGGACTGTCACAGCCAACCGCCCTCAATTAAATAAACATAAAGCTTCTAAAACCTCATCACAATTCACACATCTCACAAACACCCTCAGGAATACATGGTACACGAACATTACTACTTGACTGGAAATTAGAACTAAAAGCAGTGATTTCTCCGATGAGGTAATTGCTTCTCAAACTTCATAATACTTTAAGTCTGCAGGAACAGTTAAATGGATTCTATGTCTGAAAGTATACCAATATTAAATAATTATTGCTAAAAAAGAGTTTACAATACAGAACTTTAGAAATTGTGGCGGAAGCATGATAAATGTTAACATTATGTGGGTCTTATATCTAAACGGGAACAGATGTTTACCTTTTCAAACATTAATCATTTTAGGATGCAAAGTTTTAAAGATTTATTTTAAATATTACGACCTATATAGCAAATGGAACACTCGACGGATAGAGGAAAGATTTCAATTGGGTAGACTTTAATCGACACAGAATTTTCTGTGATCAAGAATACTATTATATTTATTGTGGCGTTTCAAATTGATGATGAAACAATATACACTCATTTTATGATGGAGGGCTGCCCGAGCTTTTAGTAACCTCACCACATTTCAATTTCAATATTTCATATCATACACAATTTCAATATTTCATACCATTTGATTAGCAAATGATGCTAGAATATCCCCATTCAGTTGGGATTTTTATCGAAAAGTGGCCCACTTCTTTCGCAAACTTCCATCCAATGAGAATCCAAAAGAAATAAGCGACTATTTCCACAAAAGAATTTTAATTTTAAATGACAAAATAGAGCTCATTTTGTCGAAGAATGTAAGGAGATATAATTAAATGAGAGCTACTTATAAAAAAGGATCAATATAAACCACATTTAATATCAATATTCCAAGAAATAATATAAAAGTCTGTGCAAAATTTCAAAGACATATCTTAAATAAGAATACATCTAGCGTGATTTCAAATGGCGGGTGGAGCGGAATATGGACGTAATTTAATCGACATATGACTTTAATCTAATCAAGAATGCAAACTTTATGGGGTCCCCAATAAATACTTTGAGGTGAAGTTTGAAATAAAAAAAAAATTCCAAAAAAAAAAATCCAAATATCCATAAGGATTGGATAAATGTTCCTAAGTACTTTGCAATGCTAATAATTGAACATGGGACATCCGTAAACCGAAAACACATACTTTTTAACAGATACTCTTTACTTATTATTTAAGTAAACTACTTTTGAGTAAGTAGTTTCGTAGAACATTATTATTAAACATATTAATTTAATACTAAAATATAAGTACTCAAATAATTCCAACCACTTAAAGTTTGCGAATTAATATTTGTGCATTCAAAAAGCCAGACTGGATGAGCGACAACACACCAACTTCGTTATTAAACATTCTTACACATTGATTAATGTCGACGTCTCATCTTCTTTCATATCAGCCAGAAAAAATGAGGCTTTGGGATTGACATCACTTTGTAGTTTGAACATGTATATCAGCATTAACTTAGAAGCTGCACGTTTGTCGATTATAATTATACTCTACTTGAAATAGCATAGCATCTATAAGACTAAGAAGGATGACACACTAAGTAAATATTTTTCAAATCGGGTCTCTCAAGTTTTAATACATTCCCAGAAACCGTTATTCTTCTAAGGATGTCGTTTTCAACACAGCTTTTTGCATTGCTTGCTCAATTCTTATCACAACTGCACAGCAATCCTTCACACTTGCTTCCATCTGTTCAACACTCTATAAGATTCAAACAACCCGGGTTTACTTCACCAATTATTCCCATATTATAATACTAGCAGAGAACACGACACTGCAATTAGCAGGTACACTATTATCTTCCACACCAGATTGTTTTATTTATACAGGTTGGACATCTAAACACAATTATCTTTTTTTTTATCAAAATGAGTGCTCTGTCAAGAAGGATCATCGGGCAAGAATTGTGTTCCAAGACGAAGCTCGTTTGAAGAGCAGCCAGAATCATTACAATCATTCTTCATCCACATCGTCGTCGGAGTATGAAATTCCCCCGCAATACCAAGTCGTGCAGCAGTTCAAGTTCCGGACAATGCATCGTTTCTCCAATTCAACTGCGATGGTCTCCGAGGTATGATCAAGGAAATTGTAAGCTTCATGAGTCGGAAAAACATCAAGGTCGCAGCGATCAAGAAAACGAATCTGAGTGCCACCTGCAGGCTTCAAAGTTGTGTTGGATACAACCTATTGAGAAAGGATCGCTCCAGAGGTGGAGGTGGAGGATTAGCCTTCCTATTGCACCACTCTGTCCAATACAGACTTATCGCGCCTGAGCTTGACTCTAGTGGCCCGTACATGGAATGTATGGGGGTAGGGGTCAAGTGTGGAACCGCCGAGGTAGAGGTGCTTAATGTGTATATTCTGCCATTAAATAGCTGTACCCCACGTTATATGCCCAATATCAGTTCACTTCAGGTAGGCCCATCATGAACTATGGCATTCCGTCCTTGCTAACGACCAGAGAGGCAGAGAACTGGAAGTAAACAGGTTAGTCGGCTAGAACATCTGAAGTCTGAAGCGATGAATATGAAGATATCCGCCACTAAATCGAGGGTCACACTTTTCACCACATGGACTGCGTAGATGAGGCTATCTTTTAATGTACAGGAGTACATTGGAGTTGTAATTCCGACTACCAACTACCCTAAGGTATTAGAGGTCACATTCGATACCAGGGGAAGAGTCTCGGAACAAATATCCGAGTGCCCATGATCCCTAGTTCGACGAGGCAAACAATTGGCGCCTCAAACTATCCACTGACCGGTGTTGGTCTACCGAAGATTAAGACCCCCTAACGCTGGGGTGTTACGTAAACCGTACCCATCAGTGTTCCTCGGATCGCAGTCAGGGTACCGACTGTATTCGTACGGTTGCCTCAGTGATACCTGGGCGCCTCAGTGAGTTACAGGCTTAGTTGCCAAGTCCTTACCATGGCAGGGAGGCTATGCCATGGCGGACCTCATCTCCTCCAAGTCCGACTTTTTATATGGAGAAAAATACAATTAAAAACAAAAACATACCCCCAACAACCACCAATGACACTATCGCTTCCAAGGAAGCAACGACCAAGGACCGGAGGGGACGACTCAATACTGATTTACAGTGACGTCATCCATGACAGTATTCAGCAACACAGTGAACAATTGTTCGCTCTCATGGAAAAGACAAAAACGCTGAGGCTCAGTCAGGAAAGTGTTCCTTCTGGCTTTGGAAATGACTCACCACTCTCTGATGAGGAACTTGACATCACGGTCATTTCCTAGTCTCAAAG